ATGAAGAAATGCTCATCATCACTAATCATCAGAGAGATGCAAATTAAAACAACAATGAGGTATCACTTCACATCTGTCAGAATGGCCGCCATCAACAAATCATCAAACAACAAGTGTTGGCGAGGGTGTGGAGAAAAGGGGACTCTAGTGCACTGCTGGTGGGAATGCAGAATGGTGCAGCATCCAGCAAACAATATGGTGTTACCTCAAAAAATTAAAAATTGAACTTCCATTTGACCCAGTGATCCCAGTTCTGGGAATATACCCTAAGAAGCCTGAAACACCAATCAGAAAGAATATATGTACCCCCATGTTTGTAGCAGCACTATTTACAATAGCTAAGATCTGGAAACAGCCCAAGTGTCCATCAGTAGACGAATGGATAAAAAAGCTGTGGTACGTATACACAATGGAGTACTACGCAGCTGTAAGAAAGAAAGATCTTTTATCCTTTGAGACTACATGGAGGGACCTTGAAAGTATCTTCCTAAGTGAAACAAGCCAAACAGAAAGACAAGTTTCATATGATCTCACTTATTTGTGGAATATAATGAACATAACAGTCTGAGGAATGGGGTAGTCCCAGAGACGCGGAAGCGGGGTACAGACTGACAATCCCCTAAAAGGCGGTGATGGGGAGAGATAAACCACAGAACTTATATGCATGTATGCATGAACAGTGGACATGGACAACAATCTGGGGAAAAGGCAGGGAGGGAGGGGGAGGGGGGAATCAGTGGGGGGAAAAAGGAGAAACATCTGTAACAAAAATTAATTAATGAAAAAAAAAGAAGAAGAAAGCAAGATACCTAGGAATAAATTTAACCCAAGAATCAAAGGACCTATTTGCATAAAACTACAAAACATTGAAAAAAGAAATAGTAGAATATATAAAAAAGTCGAAGATATACCTTGTTCATGGATTGGAAGAATTAACGTCATTAAAATGTTTATAATACTACCTAAAGCAATCTGTAGATTCAATGCAATCCCCATCAAAATACCAATGATATATTTCACAGAACCAAAACAAATACTTCAAAAGTTCATATGGAACCAAAAAAGATCCCAAATAGCCACTGCAATCTTGGAAAATTACAACAAAGTAGGAGGGATCACAGTATCACATATCAGGTTATACTACAAAGTGACTGTAATCAAAACAGCCTGGTACTGGCACAAGACTGGCCTATAGATCAATGCAACAGATCAGAGAACCCGGAAATGTACCCCAGTCATTATACTCAATTAATACTCGACAAAGGTGACAAGAGCAAACAATGGAGTCAAGACAGCCTCTTTAATAAACAGTGTTGGGAAAATTGGACAGCTACATGCAAAAAAAGGAAGCTAGACCACCAACTTGTACCATACACAAGAATAAACTTAAAGTGGATAAAAGATTTAAATGTGACTCGTGAATCCATAGAAATCCTAGAAGATAATGTAGGCAACAAAATTTCAGACATCATACACAGCAGAATTTTCACTGATACAACACCTAAGGCAGGAGAGACAAAGTAAAAAGTGAATAAATGGGACTACTTAAAATTAAAATGCTTCTGCACAGCAAAAGAAACAACCATCAAAATGGAAAGGGAACCCACTGTATGGGAGAGCATAATTGCCAATGATATATCAGACAAGAGGTTAATTTCCAAAATATATAGAGTATTCATACAACTGAACAAAAGGAAGACAAAAAATCCAATTAAAAAATGGGCAGAGCCCAGGCCAGTTTGGCTCAGCGGTTGGAGTGTCGGCCTGCGGGCCAGAGAGTCCCAGGTTCGGTTCCCACTAGGGGCATATACAAAAAAAGAAAAAAAGACAGAGGATGTAAATAGACACCTCTCCAAACAGGATAAACAAATAACCAAGAGACATATGAAAAAATGCTCAACATCCCTAATCATCAGAGCGATATAAATTAAAATGGCTATGAAGTATCACCTCAAACCTGCCAGAATGGCTGCCATCCACAAATCAGCAAACAGCAAGTGCTGGTGAGGGTGTGGAGAAAATGAGACTCTAGTACATTGCTGGTGGGAATGCAGACTGGTGTAGCTACTATTGAAAACAATATGGCATTTTCTCAAAAAATTAAAAATTGAACTACTATTGGACCCAGTGGTCCACTTCTAGGAATATACCCTAAGAAGAATGAAACACCAATTAGAAGGAATGTATGTACCCCTGTGTTTATAGCAGATCTGGAAATAACCCCAGTGTCTATCAATAGATGAGTGGATAAAAATGCTGTGGTACATATACACAATGGAATACTATGCACTGTAAGAAAGAAAGATCCCTTATTCTTTGAGATAACATCGAGGAACTTAGAGACTATTATCCTAAGTGAAACAAGCCAGTCAGAGAAAGACACATATCACATGACCTCACTTATTTGTAGAATGGAATGAACAAAACAAGCTGATGAACAAGATAGACCCAGAGACTGACAAACCTCAGAAGAGGGGAATGGGTGGTAGGAAGAGATAAACCACAGAACTTATATGCATGTATGTGTAACCAATGGACATAGATAACAATGAGGGGAAAAGGAGAAACATCTGTAATGAAAAATAAATTAATAAAAAAATAAAATAAAATCGAATGTGATTGCTGACCAGAGATATACTAATTCCAAGTAGAGTTACATTTGCCTAGATCATCTTTCTCATAGGACCATTAAAATGAATTACCTTGAAATATTAGAACAAAATTAGTAATAGAATGAAGGAGAATCAGAATTACTTGAATGGCTGAATCTACATTACAGAATATCCCTAGTGGAATAAGGGGTAAATGATAAAATCTCTGGGAATACATGCAGTAACAGTAGTGCATTATTTTATATAATAATCATGACTTTAATTTCTGAAGAGTCATAGTTAAGCTTTTGCCAAACAATAATACATAAAGAACTGGCTATATAAAACAAGTCTGTTATAGTCCTTTCATAAATTATAGCAAAAAGCAGTGTGAATGATCATCTCCTAATTTATCCATTTTCAGATTTCAAAATTTCATATGTTTCTTAAAGCCTGAGGAGGTCAAGAGAAGAGACAATATTTTTTAAAAGATGAAATGGAGATGGTACTTGAACTGGATCTTAAATGAATGAGTAAGAAAAGTATAGGAGTTGGGACAAGAGTATTCCCAAGAGAGAAAGCTACGTGTTTTAGGGACATATTAGAATATCTTTAATGGCACAATCTAAGAATCTATTTTTAAAAAGGAATATTTTAGAGGATGTTCTAATGTAGGTATACCTTAATATTAACTGCCTCAGATATTTTTGGAATAAGAAACGGTATACTTACCCTGGCCGGTTTTGCTCTGTGGTTAGAACCTTGGCCCATGGACCAGTGAGTTATGGGTTCAATTCTGGTCAAGGGTATGTACCTTGATTATGGTTTGGTCCCCAGCCTAGGTTGGGGTCGTGCAGGAGGCAACTTATCAATATGCTTCTCTCATGTTGATGTTTCTTTTTCTCCCTTTCCCCCTCCTACTCTATATGAAGATAAATAGAAAAATATCCTCGCCCTGGCCAGTTTGGCTCAGCGGTTAGAGCGTCGGCCTGCGGTCTGGAGAGACCCGGGTTTGGTTCCCGCTAAGGGCACGTACTTTGGTTGCAGTTTGTCCCCGTCCCTGGCTGGTCGTGCGGGTGGCAGCCACTCGATGTGTCCCTTTACATCGATGTTTCTCTCTCTCTCTCCCCCTTCCTCTCTCTCCCTCCCACTCTATCTGTACAAAAAATGGAAAAATATCCTCGGATGAGGATAAAAAAAAAAAAAGAAAAAAAGAAAAATATCCTCAAGTGAGGATTAAAAAAAAGTATACATTTTGTTTTTAACACATTGTTTTTGAGGACATTTTTGAGAAATTTAATCAGAGTTATCTTAATAGACATTTCTTATAAAATATTCTACATGTTTTTTAAATATTATAGTTATTTGAGCTACTTATTAATTTTAACAGGCTACAATATTTCAGTTAAATATCATACAGATTTACTTTTCAATGAAGTAGAGACTATGACACCATAGCTTACAAGCAGGGAAACAAAAGATCTCTAAAATGTAATAATATATGTATTTAATATGTTTCATATTATTATAAGTACTTCATATATATTTCATTCTTTTAAATGGTAGACAAGATAGATTGCTGTTTGTAGATAAGAAAACTAATATTAAATAATTTGTGCAAAGATAACATAAAAATGGTCATTTTTGAGCACTTTCTATATACAGAACATAGTTTGTATGTAGAGAACATCTCTGATCTTCTCAACAGTTATGAAGTACCTTTTTTTTTTTTTTTTTTTTGGTAAGGAAGCCAGGGTTCAGAAAAGTGAAGCAAGTAGCTGGATGTCAAATAGCTAGTAAGTGTTTGTATCAGTTTGCTATGGTCACTATAATGCTGTGTGACTAAACACTACAAAATCACTGTGGCATTGGGTAATAACATTTATTTAGCTGATGAGTTTGCAGATCGGTTGTAGTAACTCCACTCGATGTGTGTCTCATCCTTCTTCTGGTGATCATGCCAGTGGGCATCATACCAATCCAGGCATGATGTCCTCATGGCAATAATAAAGTGCGAATAACAGCCCATTGTGCATTTGCTTTTGAAGCCTTTGTTCACATCATTAACTATTCTAGTGGCCAAGCAAATCATATAGCCAAACCCAAAGTCTTCCTCTTCAGTGAGCAAAACTACATAACAAAGGGGCCTGAAGAACTGAGACCATTAATGCCTACCACAGTGGATTAGTTAGGGTTTATACTCAAGTGTCTCAGCAGTTATAGCTTGTGGATTCTCTTCTGGCTTTCTACCCACTTTTTAGTATCCTAAAATTTAATTTTTAAAATCATTTTTGTTTTGTTTTTTCAGTATTTTATAATCCAAGCTCTTCATATTTTCTGTATGACTAGCTATTTATAGCAAACTAGTAAATTCATTTATTGATGTCTCTCCACCATTGGTACTTTCAGGCTCGATTCTGGGTACAGGTGATGAGGGATTTGCGGAATGGAGTAAAACTTAAAAAGGTCCAAGAGCGGCAGTACAACCCTTTGCCCATTGAATATCAACTTACCCCTTATGAGATGTTAATGGATGACATTAGATCCAAAAGATACACTTTACGAAAAGTGATGGTAAGTAACAAAGAAAACTATTAATGGATTCAAGTGGTTATTCTTCAGTAATCTTATTTGTTGAAAAATGTTCTTCTCAATATTATACTTTGACAATTACTTTTTCTCATAAGAGTAATACATGGTCATTATAGAAAATTTGGAAAATACAAAAGCTCAAAGAAAAAAAGTTACAGATGTGTAATTCCACAACCCAAAGGGAAATTTTGCTAATATGCTGGTATATAACCTTCAATTTTTTTCTATACATTTTATTTGGACAATATGAATTAATGTTGGAATCTTTGTTTTTTAACCTGTTATTTTTCACTTAACATATTGTGAACATTTTCTCATGTCACTATATATTCAACATAATTTCTAAATGAGTACATCTTTTTCACCTTATGGCTGTACCAGTTTATTAAACTAATCAACCTGTATCTAGTTATCAGCATCCTATTTTGTATAAACTTGATCTTTTTTAATAGCTATAATTAACTCCTTGAATTAAGTTCTTAGAAGTGGAATTCTGATAGCTCTACCTTTAAAATATGTCCTGAATCTGACTGCTTCTCACCACCTTTGCTTCGGATGCCCTCTATTCCAACCCGCCACCATCTCTCATTCAGGCTATTACAGTGGTCTCTAAGTGGTCTTCCTGCTTTCACTCTTGTCCCTTTCTAGTCTTACTTTCCCAAAAATAGCTAGAGTAAACCTCCTAAAAGTAAAATCTGATGATGTTATTGCCCTGCTCAGAACCTTCCACTGCTCTTCATCACACAGAATAAACTCCATGTCCTTACCTTGGCCTACAATCCCCACAAAGCCTGGTCTAGGTTACCTTTATACCTTATCTTCTACCACCCTTCCTGGTTGATTTGTCCTCTTTAGCCACCCTGGTCTTAAAAATGCCTCATATGCTCCTACAGCTGAGCCTTTGCTATTCTCTTTCCTGGAGCTCTCTTTCTCCACCCATCTACATTATTTGCCTCTTCACTTTTCAGGTTTCTGCCCAAATGTCCTCCCATTAGAAAAGTCATTACCCATGTGTTTCAAAGCTCACTGCTATGTGTTACCAGATTTACTGTCTGTCTCCCTTCCAAATATAGAAAGTTACTCTTATACCCCTGTGACTAGAGCATGTGTCTAACACATAGCCAGATAGTTGTTGAATAAATTATTGTACTATATCCATATTTTTGAGAAAATTTAATCAGAATTACTTTATGTAGAAGATGCTTATGAAACACATCATTTTCTTTTACAACAAATAGATTTAAGTAGTTGTTTGAGATGTTTGTTAATTAAGTTTAGTATGCTATAATATTTAAGCTAAATATGTTAATTTAATTTTCAGTATATCTGTTTACTTTACAGATAAGGAAACTGAAGGTTAGAGATGCTCAGTAACATCCCAAGTTTAGACAGCTAGATATGAGGCAGAGCCTAATTTTCAGTCTCATTCTGTCTGACATTTATGGTGTGCTACACACATATTGCCAGATTGCCTTCGAGATATATTGTGATGATTACTATTTACAACACAATAGTTTTGCCCAGTTCTTCACATCTTGACCAAGCTAGGTATCTTTTGGGTTTGCCCAATTTGAGTGAGACGAAGTATTCTTTCATTTTTAAAATTGGTATTTCCTTGATTGCAAGTGCATTTAAGCATTTCTTTTTAAAAATATATATGTTTTATTATTGTCATTATTACATTTGTCCCCCATTTTCACCACCCTTTACCAACCTCAGCCCATACGCTAACCCCCCCCTCCCCCAGGCCTTCAGCACACTATTGTCTGTGTCCATGGGCTATGCATATAAGTATATAGGTTCTTTGGTTAATCTATTCCTGCCACCACCCCTCCCCCATTGCTCCTCAAGGTATGTTAGTCTGTTCCATACCTCCATGCCTTGGGACTTACATTGTTGGTCAATTTACTTTGTTCATTAGATTCCATAAATAAGTGAGATCACGAGATAGTTGTCTTTCTCTGATTGGCTTATTTCACTTAGCATAATAAACTCCAGGTTCATCCATGCTATCTCAAAGGGTAAGAGTTTCTTTTTTCACAGCTGCATAGTATTCCATTGTATACATGTACCACATCTACTGATTTCCAGATCTTAGCTATTGTAAATAGTGCTGCTATGAACATAGGGGTCCATATATTATTTCTGATTAGTGTTTCAGGGTTTTTAGGGTATATTCCCAGAAGTGGGATCTCTGGGTCAAACAGAAGTTTCATTTTTAATTTTTGAGGAAACTCCATACTGTTTTCTTTAGTGGCTGTACGAATCTGCATTCCTACCAGCAATGAAGTAGTATTTTCTTTTCTCCACATCCTCGCCAGCATATGTTATTTGATGATTTATTGATGATAACCATTCTGACAGGTGTGAGCTGACATCTCATTGTGGGTTTAATTTGCATTTCTCTGATGATTAGTGACTTTGAGCACTTTTTTTATATGTCTATTGGCCATCTATCTGTATGTCCTCTTAGGAGAAATGTTTATTCAGGTCCTTTGCCCTTTTTTTTTTAATTCTCACCTGAGGGTATTTTTCCATTTATCTTCAGATAGAGTTTGAGGGAGGATGAGGAGGGAGAGAGAAACATTGACATGAGAGAGAGAGACTGACTGGCCGCCTCTGGCATGAAACAAGGGCCATGAACGAACTACAACCAAGGTATGTGTCCTTGACTGGAATTGAGTTTGAGACTCTCTGTTCCATGTGCCAACACTCTAACTGCTGAGCCAAACTGGCCAGGGTCTTTTGCCCATTTTTTAATTGGATTGTTTGTCTTCCTTTTGTTAAGTTGTATGAGCTCTTTATATATTTTGGAAATTAACCCCTATCCAATGTATCATTGGCAAATATATTCTCCCATACAGAGTTTCCTTTTCATTTTGATGGTGGTTTCTTTTGTTGTGCAGACGTTTTTTAGTTTGATGTAGACCCATTTGTTTATTTTTCCTTGTTTTCTCTTTCCCCAGGAGATGTATCAGCGAAAATTCTGCTGCATAAGATGTCTATAATTTAACTGCCCATGTTTTCTCCTAGGATTTTTATTTTTCAGGACTTACTTTTATGTCTTTTATCCATTTTGAGTTTATTCTTATGGTGTAAGTTGGTAGTCTAGTTCCATCTTTTTGTATGTTCCTGTTCAGTTTTCCCAGCACCATTTGTTGAAGAGACTGTCTTTATCCATTGTATGTTCTAGACTCCTTTGTCAAATAGTAATTGACCATAATGATGTGGATTAATTTCTGGGGTTTCTGTTCTGTTCCATTGGTTTATATGCCCGTTTTTGTGCCAGTACCAGGCTGTTTTGATTACATTGGCCTTGTGGTATAGTTTGATATCCAGTATTATGATGCCTCCAACTTTATTCTTCTTTCTCAGGATTTCTACTGCTATTCAGGGTCTTTTTTGGGTTCCACATACATTTTTGGAGTATTTGTTCTAGTTCTTGTGAGGTATGCCATTGATACTTTAATAGGGATTGCACTGAATCTATAGATTGCTTTGAGTAGGATGAAGATTTTAATGATATTAATCCTTCCAATCCATTAACACTGTGTATGCTTCCACTTGTTTATATCTTCCTCTAGTTTTTTTCAGTGTCCTGTAGTTTTTCAAGTACAGGTGTTTTCTCTCCTTCATTAAGTTTATTCCTAGGTATCTTACTTTTTGTTGTTGTAATGGTAAATGTATTGTTTTTTTAATTTATCTTTTTGAGAGTTCATTATTGGTATATAAAAATGCCATCAATTTTGGGGTGTTGATTTTCTATCCTGCTACTTTGCCGAATTCATTTATTAAATCTAATAGTTTCCTGTTGGGGTCTTTAGGGTTTTCTGTGTACAATGTCATGTCATATGCAAATGATAATTTTACTTCCTCCTTTTCCATTTGTTTTTTTGTTTGTGGTTTATCTTCATCCGAAGACATTTTTCCATTTATCTTCAGATAGAGTGGGAGGGAGAGAGAGAAACATCAATGTGAGAGAGACACATCGACTGGTTGCCACCCACACGACCCCAACCGGGGCTGGGGACAAACTGCAACCAAGTACGTGCCCCTATCAGGAACTGAACCCTGGACTCTCTGATCCACGGGCCGATGCTCTAACTGCTGAGCCAAACCAGCCAGGAACCCTTTTTTCAATTTGGATGCCTTTTATCTTTTATTCCTGTCTTATCACTGTGACTAAGACTTCCAGTACTATATTGAATAAGAGTGGTGAAAGCGGACATCCCTGTCTTGTTCCTGTTCTTAAGGGAAGTGCTTTTAGTTTTTGCCCATTGAAAACGATGGTGGCTGTATGTCTGTCATATATGGCCTTTATAATGTTGAGATATGATCCTTCTATTCCAAGTTTGCTGAGAGTTTTTATCAAAAATGGGTACTGGATTTTGTTGAATGCTTTTTTGTGTTTATTGATATAATCATGTGGTTATAAACCTTTATTCTATTTATATGCTGTATCACATTTATTGATTTGCGAATATTGCCCCAGCCTTATATCCCCAGAATAAATCTCACTTGGTCATGATGTATGATCTTTTTGATGTATTGCTGGGTTCAATTGCTAATTTTTTTTTTAAGATTTTAGGTTTTGGCATCTATGTTTATTAGAGATACTGGTCTGTTATTTTCTCTTTTTAGTGGCTTTATCTGGTTTTAAAATTCGGAAAATCTCACTTCATAAAATGAACTTGGAAGTATTCATTCATCTTGAATTTTGTGTAATAGTTTGAGGAAGATAGGTGTTATTTCTTTGAATGTTGGGTCAAACTCTCCTGTAAATCTATCCAGTCCAGGACCTCTGTTTACTGGCAGTTTTTTCCTATTACTGCTTAAATTTCAATAGTTGTTCTTGGCCTATTAATGTTTTCTGATTCTTCCTGATTGCATTTTGGAAGATTGTATGTTTCTAGGAATTTGTCCATTTTGCCTGGGTTGTCCAGTTTGTTCACATATAGTTCATAGTATTTTCTTTAAAATTT